TGATGAAAACGGTTTTATCACGAGCACAGCAATGCCTCCAAAAGGGCCAGAAATGCCGCTGCCACATGTAGTAACGGAAAGCATAAGACTAAAACAAATATAAAAGTTTCCACGTCTACAAGGAGAAACAATTGCGATGAACACAGGGAATCAAAGAAGTAACATCCTTTAATCTGATCAGAAATATGTTAGAACAAATCTCTTACAAGGGTGTTGCAAGGAAGAATTTTTCGAAGGCATTAGAGCATCAGACTTACATTTCACGATCCCATGCATGCTCTGCCAAATGAATCGAGATGTTGTTTTTGATCCAACTATACGCTGGGTTTACACGTGAAAAGCACCTTGCATTCTACTAAGATCGACGATGACGACTGCCTTATGTTAGAGGAAAATTGGCAAAGGAGAGTACACCGTGAATCTACCTTTGTATAAAAGGAAAACAAGTGAATGCAATTGTAATGTTTTATTTTTTACTTCTTAGGTCAAGAACGATAATAAGATGCCAGGTCCTATCGGACCCCTCCCTACAACGTTAGTCAAGAACCTGTTGGCCTCTAGGGAGACGCGGGTCCTACTGGTCCTAACGGATCAGGAGACCTCAGTCGATGTCAGTTTCAATAAGGGATACTTTGACCCCTGGTTCTAAGAGAATAATTGTACATATTGATGAACCAACAGTAAGTACAGCTATATTTTATATTAAAATTATGAAAATAGAAATGTATAGATGGAAAAACGTGGGCAGTGAAAGTAAATGAAGAAAGGGATTTCTAAATTCAACAAGTCTGTACCTCTTTGATATTTCCATGAATCTATGACTCAGGCTTGAATTTGTAAGGGCCTTAAATCGAGCGCTTTTGAATAACGAGAATTTTAAATGATCTCTTGTTTAATTTCCGTTGTGAGAAGACGAAATGCGAAAAATACATGTTGTTCCCAGCCTTTCTTTAGAACTTATGATTAATATGCACACCTTACACCTCCTTTCCACCCTATTGCTCGAAATATTCTGAAGAAAATTTCTCTACTTTGATTGGCTTAGCGAAATGCAATGGAGAAATAGTCAATTAGTTTAAAATGGAATCAAAGCGTTCGGCCAGGATTTGAACATATTTTCAGCTAAAAACACTTTCAAAGCCTTTTTGAACATTGTTGTTCCGATTAAAAGCCGCTCGTTTCACTAAAATGCACAATCGCATTCATTGGGTTTGAATGAATTATTCTTGATATATGGGCTTTACTTCTGCAAAACTCATCTTTTCTTTATGCATATTATTTAATGTGATGTCATGATTTTACTCGTGCAATTTGCAATGAAGGAGTACCCGCAGACCTTTTAGAGGTCTAAAAACTTTGTTGGTTTTTGGAAAAACTAACCCAGCTTATCCAAACCAAAAGACCCTCGTAATAATATCATTACCTTTCTAGAAAACGTAACGAGTTTTTATGTTTTTATTTGTTGACAGAATAAAAGAATAATAGCAGTAACATGCTCAACGGATTACAACGCTGAGTATAATCTTATATCGAGGCTGCAAGGAGATGGCGCCCGGAGATACGTTTGCACCTGTGATGGATAATCCACGCTCTTCGTAAGAGGAACTAGTCGCTACCTGAACTATTGGATTTGCTCCTTAACAACATAATTTCCTACATTTCAGAAACGTTTGTACATTTGTACTTGTATATAAATTGTATATTTAAATAAGCTCAGCCTCATTTTGTACAGTTGAATGGACAGGCTGCAAAACAGACAGAACAAAATAGGAATCACTTAAACTGAGGGGCACTTCATCTGAAATGGAATTTGGTGGTTGATATCTTGGAATACCGGATGATCTAAATGTGTTTGAATTTCGCGTCCTACGCAAATAAGACTAATTTAATAGGTAACGCGAAAAAAAGCGAGGCTTGGCAGTGGGAACAATTGATCTTAGAAATCGTTCCCTGTCTGTTCTGTTCCTCGGTTCGTCTTTGTCTTCAACGTTGGTTAGTAACTGACGTAGTGTGGTGATAGGTTTGTGGGCGACGCGGATATTGAAGGGTAGTAAGATGCGCGAGATGTTTTCAGACATGCCTTTTATGTACGGTATGGTTGCTGTAGTCTTCAATATTTCCAGTGAATAAAGTCCTTCATAAATTTTACTTTGAAGGAGCTAGGAAATTATTAATACTCGAAGTAACTAACCCTTTCCAAAATTGTGTTGGAGAAAGTCTTCTTTTTTCATTTTGAATTTATTTTGATCCAAAAGGCACTGAATACTGTAAGAGATTATTTCAGTGCACTGGAGAAATGATATTTGGTGTTCTTTTCATTGATACTATTGTTATCAAGAAAGATTATCTGCTAAAATTAAAAAAAAAAAATTGAAAAACCAAACGGTACTCTCAGACTCCTGAATAGCTTAATTTTGTTGGCCATTGAGAGAATTTGTTGTCAGAACATAGTGACATTTAGCGTAGGTAGTAGACTCAGTGAAGTATAATCATTATGAAACTAAAAAAAAAAAAAAAAAAAGAAGAAAAACCCATCGATATCGCAACACTAGATACAACCTTGAAAATATTTGTCAACGCATTACTGGGAAGAAAAAAGCAACTGTTGCTATGTAATTTTAATGGGGATATTCAGGAAATTTGTTTTAAGCAGGCGAAGTGGTCCATCAGATTAGGATTCTGCACCATTATCACCTTTCACCGACTGAGCCCACACTTTCGCCTTTTATTGTGCCATACAATAAACACGCAAACACATGTGCCACTTTAATCCGTTGTTGCGTGAACAGCATATCCACTAAAACCGAACTGCGACTGAAAAGCAGTTGAAAATAATATTAATAACCACTATATGGATGCGTAGTTCGAATTGATGACGACAAAAGTTATATTCTTGTCACAGACTGCGCCATTAGCGGGCCAAGCTTGAATGATGCTCGCAAGCCTTCAAAAGAAAAATGTAGAAAAATAATTTATCCTGACGCTGTCTTAGTTTCGTTTTCATTCCAGATAAAAAATTCGTAGTGATTGTGGTTTCTGGGGTAAAAATTTCACTTTTGGTAGCTTTTTATCTCGTTATTCACATACTACTTCTATTTCTTTGTTTTTCTAACACGACGAGCTTTATACGACTTTGAATTTCTTGACCCCTATCGATTTTTCGCTATTGAATAGCGCAAAGTCAGGAGGGGAAAAATTTAATGAAGGATTTTCACAAGAAAGGTGTTGAGAAGTGAGGTTCGGCACATGGCTATCTATCAACAAATTTAATTTGACACGTCAGTCTAGACAACATTATGAGGTAAGTATCGAGTGCGCTCCGTGGATCATAAAATGTATAAAATGCATCTTCTCAACGTAAAAAAAAAAAATTATGAGACGCCCATATTGAAGTGTTCGTCGTTTCCTTTATGTTGAGCCAAGCAGGAGCACTTTTAGTAAAGAAATCTTTGAGAAAAAGTAAGAATTATAAGTACGAACCTATGAGAGAATTATTAGCTAGTACGAACATAGTTCTCAAAGCCATTAATCAATCGATCGATGATACAGCGCGCGATAGTTGCTGTTCTTATCAGAGTAGGAAAACAGTAACTTTGACTCTTAGCAGAGCGTTTTATTTCGTGGTTCCTGCTTCTACATTCAACAGTTACCTAAAGCCAGCTGAAAGATGCTACAAATTAACATGCGAGAGGGTCAATGTGGCGAAAAAAAGTTAATTTGAAATTTTTTCACCCAGTAAAAAGGTTCAGCTATTCCTAAACTGGAAAAATATATATATTTTCTAAAACTGGCCTCTTGGCTGGATTGAGGTGCACTGCATTCTGAAGTATTAAGGATAAGGCTTCCATCTCTTATTTTTGTAAACATTATTCGCCATAATTCCCAGACTAAAAATGTNCTTGGCGCACTTAGGAGAATCAGGCGTTTTGTCCCTGGCAATGTTATGTTAAGGCTCTATAAAACTTTCATTCTCCCTCATTTTGAATACTGTTACCCCCTCTTTCTTGAATTGGGGAAAGTGCAAGCGAATCGGCTAGAAGATGCCAACTATTATATTCTTAGATCACTGCTAGGTTATCTCAAGTCTACCCTTTATGATGAATTGCTGCGAATCTTGAATATGGAAACGTTAGACCAGAGAAGGAGACAACAATCTCTTATTCTGTTATATAATTGTTTGCATAACGACGGTCCCAAATACATCAGAGATTTTTTTAGTTTTAGGGAAACTATGTACAACCTGAGAGGAACCGGCATTAATTTGGGCGCACCTAAATTTTATTTAAATTTTATGAAAAAATCTTTCACTTGTATGTGTGCGCAGCTGTGGAATGGATTACCTACAAGTGTAAAACTGGGAAATAATATCAATCTTTTTAAGAAGCTATTGAGAACATTGAAACTTTAGCTGCTTCTCCATTTTATACTTGTATCTAAGTGCCTCTCGATTTCATTGCACAAACTTAATTTTTAATCTTAATTTTAAATTACTTAGGCTATTGCTTCACCATTTTATACCTGTATTTAAGTGACTTTGAATTTTACTGTACAAACTTAAATATTAATATTAATTGTTAGTTATTTTAATTTCTAATCAATTAGGTTTTGACAGTATATATTAGGTTTTTTAGATTCTTAATCTTAGAGGCACATACGTATTTTGAACGAGCTCTATGAGCTCCTTGACGCTACGTGGGTGAATAAAGTATTGATTGATTGAATGTTACTAAATAAATGTTACCATAATATTACAATAATTTAATGTAGGCTTTGTAACTGAAAATTCAGCTTGGGAGTTGCAATAAACGTATGTATGTAGGTAAGTATGTATAATGTTTCAGCTTCTCCCTGATATCAATATTTTTGATGCAAAATGCTTTAAAATTGCACAATTTAGCAGGAATATCCTTTTAGATGGACATATGAATTCAAATGAGTCACTTCTCAATGTTTGACAACGCATATATCTGTTAACATTCTTTCGCTGGAGGATAATGGAGCCACTGATATTTTTTCTAAGTAACCTAATGAGCCACTTCTCTCACGAATATATCATTGAATACAAATAAAAGCAAGATTGATAAAGCACCTGGCCGTCATAGCTACCCACCACTTTATCAGCAACCCGTGACTGAATTGTCGAGATGTTCTGCTTCATTGCCTTAAGTTCAGCTTCAAACTGTGATTGTGATAGCTTCGACTCTAAAAAGAATACAGGCTGGTTACAGAATAGTGAATGATAAATCCAAAATAGCAAGCAATCCAAATGAGGAGTCGCAGAAACGAATGGGAAATGACAACAGCGAAAAAGTAACAATCTCTCTGTGAAGAAGTTGTTGTAGTATCCTTTCAAGATCGTTAGAGGGTGGGACAGAGGCCTTCGAATTCCGTGCTCAGAAACTCTACCACAGAGCTACAGAGACTATATGTTAAGCTCCGCGTGACAGGCTTCTGCATATTACTTTGGATATATCAACAAAGTTGAAATGGTAAATTGGCCATCGTAATGATTACAAAAGCTGACGTTTCGAGCGTTAGCCCTTCGTCGGAGCGAAACCTTTCGCTCCGACGAAGGGCTAACGCTCGAAATGTCAGCTTTTGTAATCATTACGGTGGCCAATTTACCATTTCAACTTTGTTGATATATCCAAATTATT